TCACAGATGTGAGGGGAACTAACTCCTAATAATCTCTCACTGATGCGAGAGCTTGTTTTTTTTCCTCGACTTTTTACTGCCCTATAATCAGATCGTGACCTCGATTATGACACAGGCTCGTGGCCGCGAAAGGCTAGACAAAAAACAGCCAAATGTGAAATTTAAAAAATGATAATTGTCACGTTCTACCAAAGAGTTAGACGCCCTGGTAGATCTATAACATATAGATCTAGTACTGACATCTCTGCTTCTTTGCTTTGTGTCTGTGCATTCACATCTAAAGTTAAATTTAATTTTAATTGGAATTGATATTTAATGAGATACTTTCCCGATTATTTTGGCGGTTGAACATACAATAATGAATTCCGGATTTGTTTTCATTCACAACTCTGAGTCGATGCCTCGAGCAAGGTTCTTGTGCGATATCCCCAGGCCATATCTGGTCCCGTTTCACTTTGATTACCCTGTCAAACAAGTCAGCCTTCGCCCCTGGTCGAGACGACGTGCAGTGAATGGGATGGGTCTTGACCATGTAAAGTCTTTTTCCTCACCATGTAACGAACGCCATGTGTCCCTAAGGTAACAGTTTATGCGGTTCTCCAGTCATAATGTCAAGGGTGTTGTTCAATGCAGCATTAAAATCCCCGCAGATAATCATATAGTCTGCATCCCCATTGGTCAAAAAAGAATAAAGCTGATCAAAGAATTTTAATTTTTCAGATGTGATAACTGGACCGTATACATTTACTATTTGAACAATTTGATCATTCAGAGAGAACTTCAACCCCAGTATTCTGTCTGTTTTAATAACTATTTTAAGGTTTTCATAATTTGATCTGTTATTAACAAGAATAACTTGTCCTTTGCTTCTCTGTGTACCTTCAGCAAAAAAGAATTCTCCTTTCCAGTCGAATTCCCATTCCTTTGCTGTTTTCTCTGTGATATACGTTTCTTGAAGACAAACTATATCAAATTTTGTACACTGACGGAAGATAGTTTTTCGCTTTAGTTTGTTATTTAGACCTCGGCAATTAATCGACGCGACTCGCAAATTTCTTTCAGTCCCGCTCTCCATCATTCAAATTCCGATCACATTGCATCATCGCCATTGATAAACTTTAAAGGGTAAAGAAGAGGATTTACTTCACAGCAGTTTGAGTAATAATAGTGAGGAGAGAGGTGGAGAAAGAGAGAGAGAGAGAGAGAGAGAGAGAGATAGAGAGAGACAGAGAGAGACAGAGAGATAGAGAGAGACAGAGAGAAAGAGATAGAGAAAGATAGAGAGTATTGGTGTGTGTATGTGTGTGTGTGTGTGAGTGTGTGTGTGTGTTTGTATGTGTGTGTGTGTGTGTGTGTGTGTGTGTGTTAAGAAAGATGTGTGAGCTTGTGTTCTAAATGTGAGTGAGAAAAAGGGAGAGGGAGAGGTGCTGTACGAAAGAAGAGGGAGAAGGAGAAAGATATGTGTGATGACGAGAGAAAACAAGCAGGAGAGAAAACGATCAATGGAGGAAAGAATCCTTTGTTCCAACGAAAAAACAACAACAAATCAAAATCCAACTCACAATCTAGACTCGTATGTCCGTAAAACCGTGCCGGGTCGGAGACTTTAACTAACTAGCAACCCTAAGCTTTGTCCTTTTTTTCAAACCAATCCGTACTGTCTAAACTTCTTTCTTCGGTACTTTCTCCCATTTCAATGCCCCCTTTCTCCCGAGACTCACTCCTCTCCCCACGCGGTCTTTTTTCGTTTGAATTCCCCCCAGAAGACTTTCTTCTTTTTGAAGCTGAGCGCCCCCTGGAGACACTATGTGCCCCATGCTTTTTTCCAAGCACAATCGTTGTTTGTCTCAGCTTACCTCTGGTAGTCACACACGGCGATCGGGATCGCGGTACGGGGACAACGTTGGTTGACAGAGCACTGTCCACCTCTCCGTCCCCTCCTCCGTTGTTTTCGCCGGTTCCTTAGATCCGGGTTGTTGCCTGTCCTTATAATAGATAGACGCATTGAAGACACCACCAACTTTTAATGACAATGGCAGGGGAATTTACATAATACATAATTTACCTTGTCACCTTCAGATTTTAAACAGATATAATCAAATTTATGAACTATCATAGTAAGGTTAGGCGCTTGTCGTAATAACTAAATCGAAGAAACCTACATTTTCCCACGCTGGAGAGAATTACGAGAAGGTACAGGACGCGACTGAAGAAGAGGAGGAGGAGGAAAATAAGTTAGCAAATTAATTTTCAAGTCCAAAGAGTTGCATTGGTGGAATCAATTTCATAATTTACATAACAACATGTGAGCTGCTAAAAGACAGACACCACACCATTTTCATCTTTATCAACAGTAGAACATTAAAGACAAATCTTTTAGACGTAAGTGTTTTTACACTCCCATCGACACCACTGAAATCGTTGAAGATGCGGGCATCAACCTTGAGTGTCAGGGCCAACCTGGACAGAAAGGGCCACAACATCCCAGTAGAAAGACGGAGATACTTGACAAAAATTCTCCCCGCTCTCAAATCAAACTTGGGCCTCCTGCATGCAACGTCGAAGCGCCTCTTCGCTACACCACAGAAACCGGTTTCACGGGAGAGGTTGCTTGTATTAAACACAGGCTGCATTTTAAAAAATTGATATATATATATATATATATATATATATATATATATATATATATATATATATATATATATATCTTTTTAAAGTTCAATCCTGCTAGAAACAGAGAGGAAACTTTAAGACAAAACACATTTTAATGATAACAAGAGAACTCAATCTTATGGCATTTGAACATTTATTGCAGTTATATCTCATTGTGGCATACATGGTGACATTTCAGCAATATTTACAAATCTTTATCTTTCATTTCATAAAGTTGTTAAGTTTTTACAGACACTTTTTTCGAACTCTACTGTTTTAATTTGTTTTAATTTTTAAAGTTGAGATGTGGTGGCATTTTCCGCGTGCCGTGAGTTTGGAGAAAGTTCCAATTTCAGGGTAGAATAAACAATATTTTCAAAAACCAAATTGCAACTGATTTATACATTTCTTTTTCTTAAGCGTCACGTCTTAAACATGGTAGCATTTTGTTAATTGAACTCTGTACCATTTACAACCAAAGAAAGATCAATAGAACTTTGGTGATTTGGTAATTTTGATGGGCGGCGGGGAACATTCGGGTATTATCTAATGCCCAGCTTAGAAATACATGTAGCTGGGTGGTACAGAAAGGTTAGTCTTTTAATGGTGGCTAAAGTGAGTGTCGAAACATTGATCTTAGTTATATCAATTTTGGAAAGGGGGGGGGGATAACATTTTGCAACCAGTTATACTGAAATCAGATACAATAAAGCAAAAAAGCATACAACATAAAAACACGATCAACTCCCTCCATTTTTCAATACAAAGTACATGGACTTGAACAAGTTTCGGCAGAACTTGCATAATATGCCGGATGTCTACAACAAGAGGACCAACTTAAAGGGCATTAACTCGGTCATCTTTGGATCGATTTCTACAAAACTTCGAAGAAAAAAGATTAAACCGGGAGACGGGGGTGGGGGTGGGGGGTTATATTTAACAATATTAAAAATTATTAGGAACATTTTTTTAAATAGCAGTTTTTTTTATCTTAACAAAAATTGAGTAAACCGCAAAACTGCAATTTTTTGACTATCAACCATTAATATATTATTGTTCTATTTTTAAAAAATCACTAGTTGTGAATTCAAGAGCAAATTTATACACAGTTGATATGGGAGGTGATGGCTATTCAAATGTCCAGGTGTTGGCCGTTTTTCTCAACACAAGCTCCAAATTCGACACGCCACTGTAAATTTTGAATAATCCCCTGGCATGTTTTCTTGACGACTCTTTGGACGTCCTGTTCAATACTGAGTGCTCAACTGTGCCATTGTCTGTGAGTTGTGTCATGAAAACCTGTCAGTCAAAAATCCCCAAAGATAGAAGGGGCTCAAGGTGTGGGAGGGGGGGGGGGTGACTATTCATTCTTGTTTACTTTCTGCTTATAAGACGCTCCCCAAACCTTCCTTGCAACCATACAAAAGACTCGTTTGACGCTTGGGTTGCGGCCCCATCCCACTGGAACCAGAACTCTGCAGCATGACAACTTCTCCCTAAACTTCTCCTAAATTTTGTCAGCACAGTGAGATATCCATTTGATTTGACTGTTTTGGTTTTACTTTACCCCCCCCTCCCCTTCCGACCCCCTTGGTAGAATTTTATTTGTTCGAAATTTGGCTGAAATTAGTGCTGAGATGATTGCCTTACTGCCTTTAAAGTGGGTCCTCTTTTCTAAGACACCCTGTACATGTATTTACAAAGCCGGGAACATCATTATCAATCTTATAGAAAACAACACGTTTGACCATGCCTCCATTTTTTATGATGTGGGATATCGGTGGAGGTAATTAGATCGAGCAGACTTCGGTAATAAAAGACTGCACTAGAACTTCCTCCAACTTTTCTGCGCCACATGAAATTTCCATCGTATCTGATTGCAAACTTTTCATTGTACCGCTGACTTCGATAACAAGGGTAATTTTCCGACCAGAGCCTACGACGCTTGTTTTATACTGTTTGTTTGTTACTGTTATAGGTGGGGGGGGGTTTGCGGGGGGGGATTTTTTTCCATATTTGCTGAAACACACACACAAGTGCACCTGCCTACGCATGCACGCACGTAAACACACACACACACACACACACACACACACACACACACACACACACACGCGCACACACACACACACACACACTCACACACTCACACACACACACACAGACACACACACACACCCGAACATACACTTGCTCTCTATTGAGTTTTGAATTTAAGTAATGAGAGGCACATGACTTACACAATACCAGTCATTTAGTGCAGGGAAGAAGCAAGACTGATAGACAGAAATACCACAAAGCAATACATATTAATAACTTGTTTTAACTGAGCTAGTCGCCTTCATATTTTGTTCAGGCAGACAGCTGAAGCAGTTTACTTTTCGACAAGTTTCAGAGGGCAATAATTAGTCTTCACTGTAAAGAAAGTGCACACATGGGCATTGGTAGTCGAGAAGTAGTTAGATTGTGAGATTGCTCGTTCTGCGGGTCCAACGTCGTATCCCTAGTTCACAAGAAGTTTCCATATTCGGCTCAGTCATATCGAAGATGGATGTTACATTGAGAGGTATCGCATCTTAAATAACCTCACAGTGTTACAAAGGGCGTTACACATACACAGTTTTATTTTTTCCCACAAGGCGTACACGGGAACAAGATATTTTTTGTTTTTGCAAGGGGAGACCGCGCTGTTGTCCACAGCTTACCACGATATCCAAAGGAAGAGAACTAAGGAAAGCAGTGAATGCAAAATCCAGGGCTATCCAGTGACAGGACAGACTGGAGCAAAGGAAATGATCTCACACTTCGCATTGGGTAGTGCACATTGTGTCCCTTGTCTATTCGTCCTTTGAGACCCGGAACAGTGGAAATACCTTGTACTCTAGTGCTACATCCTTCTCAAAAATAGAGAGAAGTATCAATAAACTATGTAATTCTCGTTGCAAATTCAAATGTTTACAATTATTGATGTGCAAATCACATTTTTGGAACTAATAGTCGAGTATACAGGTTAACAACAACATCTTGAAATGTTGACAAAACAACACTGAGCTGTGTCTTCCAGAGTAAAATCCAGAAAAGACAGCTCAAAAATATGGCAGAGCAGTCAACAGACCAGGAAAATAAATGGTCAGCTGCTAAAAGACAACATATGGTTACATTGACAACCATTAATATCGCTGTAAATATTAGTTCTTTTCCTCAATCTGTTCCTTGCAATTTAAATCAGATCCAGGAAACATTCGGTGAAGCATGTTAATATTATTCAGAAAATTCTTAGCTGCTAAGCTAATAGATGCAACACATAGAAGATCATTACAGGATAAGTAGCTGCAATGAAATTACATGTTGTGAGGTCCGGATGCAAAAATAGATAGCGATGAAGATATCCGCTTTCATGAAAATCTTTTGCAGAAATCTCCATGGAAAGTAACGTTTATTTTGACATCTGAGGGCACGGTGGCTCGGCCTAGTTCCTTGAAGCTTGCGGCGTCCAGCACAACCAGGTATGAGGATTGCTCTGTGGTCGCGGCCAATACTGGGCACAGCACAACACCTGCACAAAGGAATAAGGGTTAGGGTGGGGGGGGAGGGGGCATTGGTTAAAATCACAGCTGTGTGGGTGGTTGGCGGGTGCTCTGGTGTGGTTTGCTTCTTCTTTCCTATCAAACATATATCGTCCTTATCTCCCCTTCTTCTATTTTATGTTTGTTACTCTCTTGTAACATCTCTAATCGTCTGGCGCTCATATGACCTTATGCAGTTGCGAGCCCCTTAAAACTTCTACTAAAAGTAAAGCAACTGCTAAACTAAGCTTGAAATTCTGTGTAACACTTCTATTTTTAAAAATGTATTGCATTTTCTTTATCTCTGGTACTGGTGGTATGTGCTCAAGAAATAATTTGTCAAATTTCAAAATCCAAACATAGATGCTGCCAGAATAGTTTCGTTTGTTTAAGTAAAGGGATGCACATCGATACAATAATGGTCCACAATTTTGTGTTGTGGAAAGGTAAAACAGAAAGATAGAAGCAACAACTTAATGAAAAGTGTTTTCTTATTCAGCCATCCCTTAACAGGCATAATTAGATACATAAAATAAGTAAAATAGTTTATTAAAGACTAGAAGAGATTTTTTGTCTTTCATTTAACTGTTTGCTATCAGGGTCTAGAACATTTGAACAGCTTGCCGGCGATTTGTTGTTTCCTCTCAAGTAACCATCATCGTGAAGGAGAATTTCTAGCCGGCCGGCAATATCTACCCTCAGGCCATGAAGCTCCAAGTTGATGACAGCCATTAATGAAATTGTGATAAAAAGGCTCCAGTCTGTCTTAGAAATTTGTGATGAAATGGCATACAAACACTATATGCCTACACAATAGTTCAACAATAATATTACCAACTGAACTGTTTGCATGTACTACTAAAGAAGGGTAAAAAGCGGAATAAAACTTTCAAAAAAGAGACGTTTACCCTGGAAAACAAATTATAAAACAAACACTAGACTGGTTGTTGTGCTCTAACCCTGTACCCACCATCATCCTCTGAGGTCCCTGCCGGGTCTTTGACAAACACGGGCTCTCCAGGGTAGTGCTTGTCTTCACACTTCCACTCTGTCATCTTTCTCTCCTGGAGGTCAAATTTCATGACCTGGAGAGGGAAAGTGTTAACGTACGATAAGAATCTATTTTTGTTTCGGTAAATAGACTACTTTTATTCGTTGTATTTCTCAGAATGAAGATTCATTAAGCAGGGGAGATTGCTCTCGTTTTGCCACCCGCCTGTTGTGAGGGTGTCCGTTCTGCTTACTCTATCAAATGAAAGTGTCTTTTTAATAGTTTCTATATTTTTCTTTCATCATGCCAAGTCCTGCTAGTTGTTCCTCGGCAGAAAGGCCAAAGGCTACATAGGGCCAGAAACATAATATCATTGGTCATCAACATAGTTTGGATCATTATTGGGCGATTTGTCAATTAGGTGGGCGGCGCAGATCACCCGGCAACGACTGGTATTATCTCATGCCCTGCTTGATTCTTGGCAGTAAGAAAACTTCTAGCGGGTCAAAAGTAACATAGTGTGCGCTAGCTATAAAAGGGTTGAGAGGCAGTGATTTAGATGATTTAGAAAATAGGCTGCCTGTCAGGGCCAATACTGAAAGTTGTGTCTCGCAGACAGTTGGAGAAATTCGAGAAGATTTCCTCATCTCGGAAATGAAATTTACTTCTGTGTACATCAGCAAAGAGTCTAACCATAGAACCACAGGCGCCGTTACAGCGTAGCACCTTTTAGCCATAAGGCAAATACAAGTATCTATACTGTATACATAAAAATGATATAAATATGTAATTATATAAATTTATATAGAAAAGATATATATATATATATATATATATATATATATATATATATATATATATATATATATATTTGTGTGTGTGAGTGTGTGTGTGTGTGTGTGTGTGTGTGTGTGTGTGTGTGTGTGTGTGTGTATGTGTGTGTGTGCGCGCGCGCACATACAATTTCAACTGTATTCCTTTAAAATATATCTGTAAAAATCAAAGAGTAATGATTAGGCGTCTTTGACAGACCATGCTGCTCCCACCAGCTGTTCTACCTGTCACTCTTCATAGCCAAGAGAAGGAACCTAAGTGTTTTTTGTGTCTGTGTTCAGACAATTAGATTATAAAAACTTCATTTATTTTCTTTCCGACGATTTGAAGGCTATAATGAACACAAAAACACAAAAGATCTTATGAAGCCGCAACAAAAATATAAATGTAAGTGGTTACTGAAATTCACATAATGACGGCAACTCTGCGGTTTTAAGCACTGGAAAAAAACACCAGAATATATAAAATTATAAATACCCTTTGATTGGTCGGATTAATGAGTGAGGTACCATATGCATATCTGTTCTTTCTTCCATTGAAATCATAGTTGATTCTGGGCAGCTCAAAGAATGCAGAACCTGTCGAAGAAATAGAGACGTATAACCATAGACTTGAATATGATACCCCAAGACCACGCACTGTCATGGCCGCCGCTCTTTGGTCTCTACAAAACCGTTCTTAGTCTTAATGCTCCGCAACATTTTGCTTAATGACTGACTGCAGAAACTTTGTGTTCCAAATTCTCTATAAAACGTATGGGCTTTCCTTTAGAATTGACAAGATTTATATATATGACAATTGAAAAGTCTGTAAGTCAAGATAATAGATATTGCTCATTCGCAGTCGAGTCTTCTTCTCGATCTCACCACAGTTTAAGTCCAGTATCTATCTCATTATATTGGACTGTCCGGCTCAGTTCTTCTGTTGAGCCGTAAAGCTCGTCTCCTGTGGTGTCAATGGGGTAAACGATGTCTGCATCATTATTTTTGTTTTCTATTGTGCACTTGCGGTTCAATACCTCCGATTTCATCACTTCAGCTTCCCGTCCCGGGACATAGCCTGTCAACACAGGGTGCGGACTTACTGTTGTCCTTTTCTGCAGAGTGTTTCTGCCCTACCTACCACTTCAATCTACACTGGTAAGAGGGGCTATTTATTATTCCTTTAAAAAATCTCAACTAACCGACATTACAGTGGCCGTTTCCTACCCGCAATCTGGGACCCACCTGGTCGGGGATGGTCGCCCTTAGAATTTGCAAATGCCAATCTGTTTCCGAGCATTCAGACTTTGAAAAAATGGATTTAACTCTATTGGTGTATGGCACCATGTGTTGAGCCTATCAATACACATTTCTGTTGGCTCCAACATGTTAGTCGATGATTAAAGAAATACACATCGACCGCCTGATGAAATCATGAATTCCACTGTTTTTCTCCATCATTTGGCGTTCAATACATAAACGTAATCTATATTTTTTTTTAAAGAATAATATTATTAAAGTACATGTCTACAATTACGAGTCACTCTCTCAAACAAAAAAAAAGGAAAAAAAAGTGGAATCCGCGATCTACGTTGTCGAAATCTCGCCTGATGCGGTCGTGAATTCCTCATTCTCTGAAGTCAAATCAGTGCTATTTCAATGTCAAACAAATTTTGATTGTGATACTACACGGGAAAACAAAGTGATGTTCTACTCCTGTTCATAATTCAGTACATAATATTAAATCATGTTGCATTTTATACTCGAATCTAGGCCATTCAAACTACAACCCATCATAATATAGAACTGAGGTAACAGGGGGCCGTCTAAAGTAGGGAAGAAAGAAAAGACGGCACAAACCTCCAAAAATAGCATCATTGGTGACGTCGACACAGTTGCCTGAGCCAGGTCTGGGTACAGCCGTAGCTTTAGAGCCAGGGAGTGTAACCAGATTCTCGCCTTCTTTGGCCTGTGAACATGTTTGAAAATGTCACGATTAAAATAAAAAAGGACTACAATGGGTATTTGAGAGACTTCAACATTCCGTCAGTTTCATGTTTTACAAATTTCAAAATATTATTATGAAGACATAGCCTACATAGCAATTCATTTATACTAAGTAGTAAACACATAGAACACGAAAACTCTGTACCTAACTAAATTATCTCCAAACTCAAGGTGCTAATTATAGTTTCATCTGAGTTTTTAACTAAACGTTTATGGCCTTCTTCGCCTCCAGGGGCGAAAAGTATCTACAAGCGAAATTACATTAGAGTTACTCACTTTGTCAATATTGAGTGGCAATACAAATCTAGCATAGAAACATAAATAATCTGCATTCGACTTCATCAGGCGGACAATGTTTTCCAAGTACAGCTCATGGACAAGACTGCAAAAGAAAAAAAGGTTGATATTTTAGTAAAAAAGTAGTACATTGACATGAAAAGGATCATTTAAAGCTGCAAAAGAGCGAGGCAGATAAAAACAACAGAGGGAAAGTAGTGAGTGAAATCTACCAGTGGACCTCATCAGTAACCAATGGAAAAACAGCCTTTTATCTGATAACTATTGCTAGATCAAAGAACATATTATTTTAACGAAAAATGTACAGACAGCAATAGAGCTTTCAATTCTTAACCACCGAATTCAGTTCATCATCATGAAGTGCCAGATCTGAAGCTGACATCGTTGATTGTGATTTGCCCCTCAATTCTCTTTTCAGGTACTCTCGGAAGATTTGTTATTGTCAAGGTTTCCCCTATCACCAATCTGTTCAGTGAAACAAAATAAACACATTCTACCACTTTCAAGAGACACAGACAAAACTCAGGAAACGTTCAATGCGCTGTTTTAACTACGTTTCTTACCCTCCACTCTTGTTCATACAAACATCACAGATCAAGAAACCGGACTCCTCATAGCAGTTGACGAAGTGGAACACAAAGCCGTGAGGGGTGTAGAAGTTTATGGGCAGTCTCTGGCCCGTTCTCCTATCCACAACATGGATTTGGATCTGAAAAAAAAGTATGTCCAATTTTGACATGTGGGTGGTTTTGTCCACTCTCTTAAACATCTATCGTCATCATCTCTGCACCTTTTCGTTGTGTGCTACTCTCTAGTGACACTTTAAATTTACTTATTTAATCTAATTGTGTTGTAACTGTCTTAAATCCTACTAAACTGAATTAACTAGTAATTCCAACCGTTTCTTCCGGGTAGTTGATAAAGCACTGTTCAGCCCCTCCCCAAAATCTCATGGTCATCAGTTTGGGAATGTTCATAACAACCGGGTGCTCCAGATGGACGAAGTAGTTGTCTGACATGCCAAACGAGTGAGTGTAACCAACACTCCATTTCCAGCGGCGTGGTATGGATGCCACAATGTCTGCCTTAGAAAAAGGAGCTGACCGAAAAAGAAAAAAAATAGAAAGTACATCAGCACAACTCAGTTTTGACAAACAAGCAAATACGAAAATGTGAGTGGAAAAGATTATTAAGTCTTCAAACAGGACACATTTAAACAGCCTGGAAAGGAATTGCTTAATTTGTAAAAATAATTAATTATTATCTTACGGAATGGAAATGCAAGTTTTGCACGGGATAATAAAGACATGAAAATTACTAAATGAGCGGTTAGTGCGCTCTTCTCCGAAGCGGAAAGTCCGGGTTCGAGCCTCGGTTTGGACACGGATTTTTTGCGCCCCCTCCTGCCCACCCAGCAGTAATGGGTACCTGACTTTGAGTTGGGGGAGTGAAAGCGGCGTGGAAAGGATCTGGCCACCCTACCTAAATATGCCGAAGGCCCAGGAAGTTGTCTCACTAACAAGGCAATCCCCAATGTCCAGATTGGATGCGGGAACAACTTTACTTTTTATTAAATGAAATGTTTGTTATATTGTTATATTTGTTCTTAAAGGATTGATACTCCCATAAGTAAACGATCCACTTCGAAACAAGTCCAGTTGTTAACAATAAACAAGTACAACCAACCAATCTTTTCTCCCCTTAAACCAAAAGACTAATAATACATTGTTGTACCTATCGCCACAAAGGTAACTAGTAGCAAACTTTCTTGAAAAGAGAAACAATTTTATATTCTAACGTGAGGATGATGATCTGAGTGAAAAAAAGTCATAACACTGATAGATTCGGGGTATGTGTGTGTGTGTGTGTGTGTGTGTGTGTGTGTGTGTGTGTGTGTGTGTGT